GTCTACAAACTCAAGAGAATCAGTCCCGAGTAACGGTTTCAAACCCAAGAGAATCAGTCCCGTGTAACGTACACGTCAGTCCCGAAAAACAAACCCAAGAGAATCAGTCCCGAGTAATGTCTACAAACTCAAGAGAATCAGTCCCGAGTAACGTCTACAAACCATAGAGATCAGTCCTGAGTAACGTCTGCAAACCATAGAGAATCAGTCCTGAGTAATGTCTACAGACTCAAGAGAATCAGTCCCGAGACACAAACCCAAGAGAATCAGTCCTGAGTCAAACCCAAGAGAATCAGTCCCGACAAACCCAAGTAATGTCTAATGTCTACAGACCCAAGAAATCAGTCCCGAGTAACGAGAATCAGTAGTAAGACAAACCAAGAAAATCAGTAATGTCTACTGACCCAAGAGAATCAGTCCCGAGTAATCAGTCTAACAAACCCAAGAGAATCAGAATCAGCCCCTGTGTGACGTCTATACCAACAACCATGTAATATTCAGTCATTCGAGTAATGTCTTTTTCTCTCACTTTTGTAGACTTTTATCAGTCCTCATGTAATTTTGTTGTAAAGACATTAAAAACATTAGTCCCGAGTAAACTGTCTCACAAACCCATCCCAGAGTAAATAATTTACTATAACCTGGTTACAAATGGCATATAGAGACGATCGTTTTCTAAATAAATTTACTTTTGTTTGTCTGACAAATGACCCTTTAAGTTTGAATGACAATTAGCCCCGTTTAACTTTGTTTGTCTGACAAATGTTACTCCTTTTACCTGTAACAATTCAAAGTCCTTTACCTTTGTTTGTCTGACAAATATCTTTTTCAATTATAACTCATTTTTGTAACGTTACTTTTTTTTTATGTTTGTTTGTTATAACTCCGTTTACCTTTGTTTGTCTGACAAATGATTTTGTTTGTAAATACATTAAAAACATATTTTCATTTGAAAAAAACTTGCTCTCACATCATCCTTTTACCTTTGTTTGTTTGACAATTATAACTCCTTTTACCTTTGTTTGTCTGACAATCATAATTCCATTTACCTTCGTTTGTCTGACAAATGTTACTCCTTTTACCTTTGTTTGTTTGACAATTTTTTCCTTCGTTTGTCTGACAAATGTTACTCCTTTTACCTTTGTTTGTTTGACAATTAAAATCCGTTTACCTTTGTTTGTCTGACAATTTCCTTTTACCTTTGTTTGTTTGACAATAGACCAATCCACACTTTTCAAAAAATCTTAAATAAAATACAAACACAGTAGCCTTTGTAGTTTTCAGGTTTGTAACTTCGTCATTTGACGTTAAAAACTCTGCCTTTTGTCTACTGGTTGCCCCAAGTGGGGGTACCCACACATTGAAGAAAAAAAATAACACAATGGATATTTTCACAGCACGCCCAATATTTGGTAGCACATTTTTCTTTCCCACCTTTTGGTTGACCCCGGGGGTCAACTTTTGCAAAGTGTGGGGTCCAAGTTTACCTTTTCTGACAAATGTTACTCCTTTTACCTTTGTTTGTACAATTATTTAACCTTTGTTTGGACAAATGTTACTCCTTTTACCGTTCGTTTGACAATTCAACCCCCCCTCAAATGTTACTCCTTTTACCTTTGATCCGTTTACCTTTGTTTGTCTGACAATAATTTACAATATAACCTGGTTATAAATGGTTTGACATATAACGACGTTCCTTTGTTTTCTAAATAAATTTACCTTTGTTTGTTTGACAAATGTTACATGTACTCCTTTTACCTTTGTTTGTTTGACAGTTATAACTCCGTTTACCTTTGTTTGTCTGACAAATGTTACTCCTTTTACCTTTGTTTGTCTGACAAATGTAACTCCTATTTAAAAAACAAGATATAGAATTCCAACTTCCATCCTTGACGCTCATCTCCGCACAACCTTCCTAAAACAAAATTAATGAAATATTTAAAATAAAAAGTTTTTTAACTTTTCAAAACTATAAGGGCATCTTGATTACTGAAGGTGTAATGACGAATAATGACCGTAGACTACGACAAAAATGACTCCCGGTTATTATTCTACGGCGAAAAATTCCGTAGCAAGGAATTTTCTACTATAATCAAATGGAAAAATGTCTCACGGTTATTATTCTTGTTTTGTTCCATTCCCCAGAGCTAAGCAAGGAATTTCTGAAAGGCTAAAATCAAATGGAAGGCAGGAGGGGGTACCTCTTACTGAGCTCAGTGCTCATATCAATACCTCTAGCTTTAATCTTGTTTTGTTCCACCCTTTCACTCTGTTCTGTGTATATTTTTAGAGCGTTTTAATATGAAAATCAGAAAGAAATTCATTTCATTGTTTATTTGTAATTATTTTACATTTTTGTTTGAACAGTTTTCTTCATAAGCACCCTAGCTCTCAAAGCAAAATATGAAAAATTAAATGAAAACCATTTCTTTTGTTATGCATGTATTTTCTATTGCGGACATCCACTGACACATGCGGTCGCGTAAACATACGATTGGAGCCGTAAAGTATTCCTTTTGTTATACATGTACATACTTCGCAACAATCCATAGACAGTCAAAACTAGAGGTACTGTGTGTTATGAGCTCACTAGATGATACCCCCGCTTCCCATATGATTATAGGGGAAAATTTATGTTTTGCTCTGTGAGATCCAAAATAAGTGTCGGATCAATAAGTGTTGGTTGTGTTAGAATGTACATGTGCGTTATTATTTCATTGCCTCGATGAAATAATTCTAATCTTTTTTAATAACAAACATAAAAGTAATAAATAAAAGTTTTGAAAATTTGCTAAATACTGTGCCTTAATGGTTATTTTAAGGTTTTAATTTGTTTCTTTTTCTAATTCTCCACAGATATTCATGAATTTATGATTTTATATTAAAAAAAAGTCGTTCACCTGAACTCTCCCCAAGATGAAAGTGCATAAGACATGGAATTCAAACGTATTGAGTTTTTGGATATGAATAACAGTACTAGTGCCTAAATTAACTAACTTATACACATTTTTAAGAAAAATGGCATAATTAAATATTGTTTTGAGAACATTAATTATTACATTTTCAAATGACAACGATTTTTAATCTTTTAATATGATAAAACATCGTCATTATCACATAACATGACAAAGACCTACGACATCAGCATGTTGCACGTCCATCATGTTGCCGTTGCACCAACGTTTGGTCTACACTGAAAATTTTACAGAGATATACATGTACCATGCAGAGTACATGTACATGTATTTTTTTTTTAATTTCAACGGATTCGTTATAAAAATTCTTTGAAATACTCAAATGAAATATTTTTTGGTGATTTGATGTTTCGCATCAATATAAACTATAAAATTTTGGTTCACTCTAAATGGGGGCATTTTTAAACGGGGGTCAATTCTTTATTGTACTCGAATATAAAATAATGACCCCTGTGGCTCTTTTTCTACAAAAACAAAAAAAAAATGATATTTTTAACGGGTGGGGGTATTTTCTGTCGTTGAAAAATGACCCCGGTCATTATTCTACGGGGTCATGATTCGTCTTTACACAGGCATAACATACTGGAAACATTTGTATTTTAAATCATTAAAATTGATGTTTCTGTTTTGTGTGGTTATCTTAATGAATTCGAATAGATATATTTGCTAAACTTAAAGCAATATGAGCTACAACTTTGATAACAGAATATTTTGCTGCAAAATTGTAAATAACTATTTCATTGACAGAAAAATTAACGTTAATGAACGTCTGTTGATCACATTTGCGATGGAAGAACTATTTATAAGCTTTGATTGAATCAAAATTACATAATTGTCGTTCTATACAATAATGATTCTTAGTACATAAATCTGTATATTGGATTGTAAGTCTTTCTTCTGCTTTATTTTAGTCTAATTCATCATAAAGGTTTAAGTTAAGTACAAATTTAATAGAATATTACATTGAAACAGCACAATAAAATTTTCAAAAATGCAGTTCATATTGCTTTCAGGGTGAATCTTACGGTAAGTGAGTTTGGTTCCCCTCTAGCCCAGTTTGTGAAGTCTACGCGGGAATTGTCCATCCAAATGAAATAACGTTTATCATAATAATAATTATTATCAAAGAGTCCAATCCACAAATTCTTTGATTTCGTAGTATCAAACTGAAGCTCTATGAAAGCTGTTAACAATTTATAAAAAGACCAGTAAATTCATGTTATAAGTTCTAATATGTCAGCCACTTAATCAAAAAAGTGAAAATTATTTTCGAGTAATACAAATATCACATATGTAGAGTTAGCTTATATAAATATGAAGTCACATTCATTTTTTTAAAAATGCACAAGATTAAATAAAAATTTGGTCTCACCATTTTCCATCGCTGAATGAATTGAAACAAGAGAAAAGTCTTTTCCTAGAACGCTACACGAATACTTTGCCTGTCTAAAGTTTAATCTCGAGTCCTGAACTATCTTGTAACATTTGTTATCTGTTAATTAAAATCAATGTCTATTTAGTGTAGTATCATTGTGAAATAAAATTGTAGATTTAGATTTTAAAAATGTAAGTTAGACTTATATATTTGAATTACTCCCATGTCAACTTCAATAGTCCTCATCCACTCACTGACGTAAAAAACAAAGACAATCACAGGAGATTTACATTCATATTTGGCCTCCATAGCGTCAAACACAAAGACTGACGCGCACGAGATTTACTTAAGGAATCATTGTCTAGTTAGTATAGTATGCCAGGGTATCAACAATAGTGGGAAAGATGAGCCCGTTATGCATCAATTATCCCATGTTTTCCACTATTGTTGATGTCCCTGACATTCTATACTATTCTAACTAGACAGTGATTCCTTATATTTCCATTTCCTAATGAAATAAAATTGTAGATTTGGTCTTTAGAAATGCAGACATAAATTTAAATTACACGAGGATTCCCATCCCAGTTTCAATAGTCCTCGCCCACTGACGTCAAACACAATGACAGCCACACGAGAATTTCAAGCATATTTGGCCTCCTTAGCGTCAGACTCAGAGACAGATGCGCACGAGATTTGCATACATATTAGGCCCCTTAGCTCCTGACCTATTAACCTGCCTAATTAATTTACATTCCGGTAGAATTATTTAGAAATTAACTCCGCTAACTTTCAAGGAGTTATCACAGAGAGAAAAATTAGAAATGGAAATATATGCGTATCAAAGTTCCTTAGCTAGTACACCTATCGATTTACTAGCCTATCGATTTGTCTAATTTACATTCTGGTAAAATTGTCAAGAAATCAACTCCACTAACTTTAATTTCAAGGAGTTATCACAGAGAAAACAAATAGGAATGGAAAGACATTCCTAGAAAGTATATTTTGTGCTGGTATGTTTCAATGTGAAAACATTTCAGTGATCATGTAAATGAATTAGCTAAACTACTCACTTATCGGAGATTCTACAAAGCCTGAAGGACAGCCCCCGGATCGCACAGGCGTGTACCTAGCCGTGGTGACAAGCTCGTCTGAGCCAGTCCTCTTCATACAAACCAAATTGTCACATCTCATATTGCAATTCTCTGTTCTCCGGCCATCTCCTGTAATTTTTTGTTAATTATGAATTAGAGTAAGGCTACATAGACACATAGCTCAGTTGTTTCTGATACATCATTTCATTCACACTTTTGTAAATTTGTAACAATGTGGTTTCCTAGAACATTGTTTATAAACATATTTAAAAATTCAAATATGAAAAATATAATTATTTCTCGAACGTTAAACAAGTCAGTAGCATCATACATGCTCTGTTAGCATAGCAAGAATGTTCTCGGAAAATACATATACAGTTATATCAGGGAATAATACGTAATGTCGCGAGCACCTCGCAGTTATCTAACTTACTACCGCTCTTTTGCGGGAGAGTCGAGAAAGCTTTAGATTTTGGGGGCACATGACATTGTTTACAGTAGTAACAATCAACTGATTTATCAATTTAATGCCCAAAATACAATGTATTGCCAAGAATTGGATTCCAAATAGTCGATTGTCAGCTAAGGAAAATTTAGAATATTTTATCAGCTTTGAAATGTGACGATTTTCAATGAAAATTTAATGAGAAAGGTCCGCTTAGTTAAAAATGTAACATTTTAGGATTAGCTCATCTCAAAAATTAATAAGGCTGGTTCAGCAATTTTTAAGCAAGGTATTCCATCTGGATTTTTATCCTTATATCCTTAAAAACTCTACAATGACCGATCTTGCATTGTATTCAATTGCATATTTGTCCCCACCTAACAGACGTTTCCTACCTCCATCGCGAAAGAGTTCCGCTAAGTTGAGCAATCGCGATATAAAGTATCCTAATGAATGGCTCTTTATCGAGTATAATTTAATCTGTTTTGGGTCAGTTTACGTTTTATAATCCGCTTGAAGCCTACGTGATTCCTACAGATGCACATTACAAAAACAACTGAACAGTTGCTGAGAAATCGCGTGTACAAAATTTAGGAAACTGAGAGTAATAAATAGAAACTTATTACTAGTAATGAGAAGGTCTTTCGTTATACTACTTCCTGTTGGGAGTCGTCTGCATGACGCGGTGTTTAGATTGCAGTTTTAGCGAAAATATTTGCATGGCCATATCCTTTCTAATGTCGGATCTAGCATTAAACTTATTTAGTAAGAAAAAAAAACTTGAAAAATAATCTTTTTTGTTGCACTTCATGTCAGAAAGTGAGTAATGGCATTACACAATTTTACATGATGCATCTAAACTGATGACAGAGAATCGGTCTTAAAATTTAGATTTCTGTTGTTTACTGTTTTCTAGCAATTGTGGAAATAAATACTAATTTTGAGGACAGGAAAATACGCGACCGGAAGTATCTGTACGTTAAATCCATGACAAACTAAAAATAATACTTTGAAATAACATAGAAGAAATAGTGGAATCAATATAAGGTCTTCCATGGGGGCATTTATATACTGTGGCATACCGTAGAGTACGTCTTCGTAGACGCATCGCCTCAAAGGGTCAAGAGATAAAGAGGCATCAACAAAGCTGATGTCTGATGTACCATCATCCCATCTGGAGAAAAAGATTAAAGGATATACCTTGAAGGAATCTTGCATTTTCTGAATTATTGAGGGATTAATCCGTTTATGTAAAGTGTAATTGAATAAAAACGTAAAAATAACAAGACAACTTAATTGAAACAAAAGCGAACTATATCCTTTAAACGGATTTATTAGAAAATAATGTAAACAAAGCCTTATTATGTTCCCCAAACGAAGTTGGGGAACATATTGTTTTTACTCTGTTTCTTATTATTATTATTCTTATTATTATTAGGGTCTTCCGTCTTCAGCGGAAGACCCTTCTATTATTCTTATGTTTCTTTTTCACTTTTCTTATTATTATTATTCTTTTTTTCTGCACAAATTTTGTGCAGAAGATTTCTCAGAGATCGTTGGATGGATTTGCTTCAAATTTTCAGGGATGTTGCAGGATAATCTGAAGTTTATACCGGCTGAAGGATTTTGTGAAAATCACTTCCGGTCTATACTAGAGTTATCGCCCTTTTATCAAAATTCAGAGGACCTCCTTGTCCGTTCATTTTCTCGAAAACGGCTTGAGCTAGAGCCCTGAAATTTTCAGTGATGATAGAGGACATGTCCCCATGTTACTGGGAGTTTGGATAGTTTCCGGAAGTATCTAGTATGGAAGCTCGGTAGGGGTCAAAATGTAGGACACAAATCGCGAGTGATTTTTGGAGACATTTTGCATCATATCTTTTAAAGTATAAATATTTTGTAAGAACATACTGAACATCATTTGTGCAGAACAACGAGATCTTTCAAATGATATTAAGAAAAAAACGCTGACTCATCACATTAGGGGCAGAAAGGGGCCAAAAGTCTTTAATCGATAACTCTTTATCAGTTAATATTTTGTAATATAATACTGAAGCAAAAATGTTTATCTCAACAATCTACAGCTATATATTATAATTTTTATGACGTATGGTACATAATTAGGGGCCACAAGGGGCCTTAATGCCAAATCTTTGACGCTTTATATCTCGAGAGTGAGAAATATTTTGATAAGTAATATTGAACAAAAGATGTTCAAAATCATGTTTTGAACAATATGCAACCTTTCATTTTTCGCTAAACGTCCCCATTAGGGAGTTGAAGGGTTGACCCCTAAATATTTCTTTTGCAAATAACTCGAAAACGAAAAAGAATCTCTGAATAGTTGTTGAACAAAAAGTGCTCAAAATCTTAAGACCTTTAAGATGAAATCAGAAAAAGGGGCTGGACACTCAAATTAGGGGCCTAGAGGGGCTAAAAGTCTTTTTTCGATAACTCTTTAACAGTCAATATTTTGCTATACATTACTGAAGCAAAAATGTTTATCTCAACAATCTACAACTATGTATGATGCTTTTAATGTCGTATGGTACATAATTAGGGGCCATAAGGGGCCAAAATGCTAAATCTTTGACGCTTTATATCTCAAAATTATGAAATATTTTGATAAGTGATATTGAACAAAAGATGTTCAAAATAATGTTATGAACAATATGCAATCTTTCATTTTTCGCTAAACGTCCCCATTAGGGAGTTGAAGGGTTGGCCCCTAAATATTTCTTTTGCAAATAACTCCAAAACGAAAAAGAATCTCTGAATAGTTGTTGAACAAAAAGTGTTCAAAATCCTAAAAGCTTCAAGATGAAATCAAGAAAAAGGGGCTGGGCACTCAAATTAGGGGCCAAGAGGGGCCAAAAGTCTTCAATCGATAACTCTTTAGCAGTTAATATTTTGTAATACATTACTGAAGCAAACATGTTTATCTCAGCCATCTACAGCTATATATTATGATTTTCATGTCGAATGGTACATAATAAGGGGCCACAAGGGGCCAGAATGCCAAATCTTTGACGCTTTATATCTCAAGAATGAGAAATATTTTGAGAAGCAACATTGAACAAAACATGTTCAAAATCATGTTTTGAACAATATGCAACCTTTCATTTTTCGCTAAACGTCCCCATTAGGGAGTTGAAGGGTTGGCCCCTAAATATTTCTTTTGCAAATAACTCGAAAACGAAAGAGAATCTCTGAATAGTTGTTGAACAAAAAGTGTTCAAAATCCTAAAAGCTTCAAGATGAAATCAAGAAAAAGGGGCTGGGCACTCAAATTAGGGGCCAAGAGGGGCCAAAAGTCTTCAATCGATAACTCTTTAGCAGTTAATATTTTGTAATACATTACTGAAGCTAATATGTTGATCTCAGCCATCTACAACTATATATTATGATTTTCATGTCGTATGGTACATGATTAGGGGCCACAAGGGGCCAGAATGCTAAATCTTTGACGCTTTATATCTCGTAAGTGAGAAATATTTTGAGAAGCAATATTGAACAAAAGATGTTTAAAATCATGTTCTAAACATTATGCAACCTTTCATTTTTTGCTAAACGTCCCCATTAGGGATTTAAAGGTTTGGCCCCCTAATATTTCTATTTTTTCTTTTGCAAATAACATGAAAACGAAAAAGAATCTCTTAATAGTTGTTGAACAAAAAATGTTCAAAATTCTAAGAGCTTTAAGTCGAAATCAAGAAAAAGGGGCTGGGCAGTCAAATTAAGGGCCAAGAGGGGCCAAAAGACTTCAATCTTTAACTCTTTAGCACTTAATATTTTGTAATACATTACTGAAGCAAAGATGTTTATCTCAACCATTTGCAACTATATATTATGATTTTTATGTCGTATGGTACATAATTAGGGGCCACAAGGGGCCAGAATGCTAAATCTTTGACACTTCATATCCCGAAAGTGAGAAATATTTTGAGAAGTAATATTGAACAAAAGATTTTCAAAATCATTTTCTGAACAATATGAAACCTTTCAATTTTCGCTAAACGTCCCCATTAGGGAGTTGAAGGGTTGGCCCCTAAATATTTCTTTTGCTAATAACTCGAAAATGAAAAACAATCTCTGAACACTTGTTGAACAAAAAGTGTTAAAAAGCATGAGATCTTTCAGATGATTTAAAAAAAGGGGCTGGTCCCTTACATAAAGGGCCAAGAGGGGCCAGAATTTGAATTTATGAGTTTAACGTTCAATATTAAAAAAATACTATCACAGCAGCACAATCGTTTTTCTTAAGAAAACTATCATTGTAAAAAAATCTCAATCAAAATCTTATCTCATCTCATCAAGAATCGAACGGAAGACCCACTCGTTGTTCACAACGAGATCGTATCTAGTTATTATTATTTTTCTTCCTGGGAAAATCTTTTCCGCGAGTGATCTTGTAAACTACACATCCGACTTAGGTGAAACCTTTTTAGGGTAAGTAGGCATGAAATGTAGATTTGCGGAATCAAGGTCATTTTGCGCGCACGTGCTTGCAAGAGCGCGCACGTGCAAAACTTAAAATGACCAATATATAATGGATATAACCGTACCTTTTCTATTTTGTGACGAACTGTTTTGAAACTTATAAAGGAAGGATATATTAGTAGTAAGCACAAGATGACATGGTCAAAATAGCAAGATCGCACGCGCATGCACGTGCACTTCGCTTTGATTGGCTGAAACTAAAGTCTCAATATCTTTTTTGTTTTTTGATGAAATCATTTGAAATTTTGAACATAGTCATACATTAGGGAGATCTACAGCCTGTAATATAAGATTTATCATGAAAGCATGTGCATGCACATGTGCTTGCAAGAGCTCGCACGTGCAACACGAGAAATGTCCAATATAATTGATACAGATGTAACTATTTAAATTATCGATGAAATGCTTTGAAATTCATATTATAAGTATACATTAGAAGGATAGACAAAATGACATGGTCATAAAAGTAAGATCTCACGCGCATGCACGTGCGCTTCGCTCTGATTGGCTGAAACGAAAGTCTCAATATCTTTCTTGTTTCTTGTCATAATTCTATGAAATTTTGAACATAGACCTACATTATAAAGATCTACAGCGTGATATATAAGAATTTTCATGAAAGCATGCGCATGCCCGCGTGCTGCAATCTGATTGGCTGAAACTTTAAATGGCTATATCTCCTTTGTTTTTTGACGAAATGCTTTGAAATTTAAAACATAGTCATGCATTAGGATATACTACAATATGATGTAGAAAAAAAAAAAAAACATGAAATCACGCGCATGCACGTGTGCTGCATCTGATTGGCTTAAACTTGAAATGGCTATAACCTTGTTTTTCAACCAAACATGATGGGATTTAGAATATAGATAGATATAAGGGATTCCTACAAGAAGGTATGGTCATCATGCACATGCACGCACGTGCGTGCATTTGGAACGAGTGAAATGAAAAATACGTTTGAAAGAGTGATTTTTCATACTTTTGGACTGAATGCTTTAATATATTGTATATTAAGATATGTAGATAGTTTAGACAAGATGATATGATCAGAACGCACATGCATTCACATGCGCACGGGTGCAATGCTAAAATTTGAATGTAATTGGTATCCTTCTGAGAAAACGTTGTTAAAGTCAAAAATGAACAGAGTTTGTCTTACTTAATGAAGCTTTCAGGGAATATGGCACCAAAAAGGAATTGGGGAGCGTTTGGGGAACATCTGTAACGGTTCCCGTTACAATTAGCACTAGTTATAATCGATGTACAGGTCTCAAAATAACACTTTATAGGGTCAAACACCGAATATATTCTTACTTCCACCCGTCTTGTTCTATATTGTTTAATCCTATCCAGAACTCTGAGTATCCATCCCTCATCTTTACCTATTAAAGTATACGAACATAATTAAAACTGAAAATAGTTTAAATGAGTAGAAAAACAACATGAATTCATGTTAAAAATAAATTATAATATAAATAAAATATTTGTATGCAAGAACCATCTATATACTGATATTTTTATTACTTTGAAAGAGTTTTACTAAGTATAGCAAAAGGAAAGATTTTAGAGAGCGTGCATTTTCTATGCAAGAAAAGTCTTCAAAAACAATGAAGAAATGATAAATAAAAATAACTTAACATAATTCTATGAAATTTTGAACATAGACCTACATTATAAAGATCTACAGCGTGATATATAAGAATTTTCATGAAAGCATGCGCATGCCCGCGTGCTGCAATCTGATTGGCTGAAACTTTAAATGGCTATATCTCCTTTGTTTTTTGACGAAATGCTTTGAAATTTAAAACATAGTCATGCATTAGGATATACTACAATATGATGTATAAAAAAAAAAAAAAACATGAAATCACGCGCATGCACGTGTGCTGCATCTGATTGGCTTAAACTTGAAATGGCTATAACCTTGTTTTTCAACCAAACATGATGGGATTTAGAATATAGATAGATATAAGGGATTCCTACAAGAAGGTATGGTCATCATGCACATGCACGCACGTGCGTGCATTTGGAACGAGTGAAATGAAAAATACGTTTGAAAGAGTGATTTTTCATACTTTTGGACTGAATGCTTTAATATATTGTATATTAAGATATGTAGATAGTTTAGACAAGATGATATGATCAGAACGCACATGCATTCACATGCGCACGGGTGCAATGCTAAAATTTGAATGTAATTGGTATCCTTCTGAGAAAACGTTGTTAAAGTCAAAAATGAACAGAGTTTGTCTTACTTAATGAAGCTTTCAGGGAATATGGCACCAAAAAGGAATTGGGGAGCGTTTGGGGAACATCTGTAACGGTTCCCGTTACAATTAGCACTAGTTATAATCGATGTACAGGTCTCAAAATAACACTTTATAGGGTCAAACACCGAATATATTCTTACTTCCACCCGTCTTGTTCTATATTGTTTAATCCTATCCAGAACTCTGAGTATCCATCCCTCATCTTTACCTATTAAAGTATACGAACATAATTAAAACTGAAAATAGTTTAAATGAGTAGAAAAACAACATGAATTCATGTTAAAAATAAATTATAATATAAATAAAATATTTGTATGCAAGAACCATCTATATACTGATATTTTTATTACTTTGAAAGAGTTTTACTAAGTATAGCAAAAGGAAAGATTTTAGAGAGCGTGCATTTTCTATGCAAGAAAAGTCTTCAAAAACAATGAAGAAATGATAAATAAAAATAACTTTGCTTATTCAATGAAACAGGGTGAATGCACGGAATAGGGGTCAGTATCATAAAAACTTCGTATAATACAAATTTATGAACAAGACATAAACTATTCAATCTTGGTATAGCATATAGCGTTTTATTGTAATTATGGTATACAGTACACGAAGTTGTACTGTATACGGTGCACCCTTACTTATTTTTACCACAAGGTACCTAACTCAATTTCATGCACCCCGCTTCAATCTCGTATTTTATTTGTATATCAACCGAATTATTTATTTTCTTTAAAATTACATCGTTTGCTTCGAGACCTTTTTATGTAAATTAAATTGTTTCAGACTTCTCTGGTTGATCATCTCTATTGTAAACCACACATTTATTCCTCGATTAAATTACCTCGATACAAAATAAGACTTTAGATTGGATAAACAAATTCCGGTTGGGGTAATGAATGAAGGATTAACCAGAGACCTCGGAATGGAATACTTGGAAGTCTCGGGTTTGATCCTCTATAAATAAACCCAACTGGAAGCTTTTAATCCCGTCTAAAATCTAATTTTATATCGAGGTAATTTTTGAATTTTTCGTTCTCTTGAAGCGAACGATGTCATTTTAAAGTAGGTTAATGATTGATAAGTTAACAAAATACGAGCTTGAGGCAGGGGTGCCTGAAATTGAAGTTAGGAACCTCGTGGTAAAAATAAGTTGGAAGTGCCACGTACACGAAACAAGTGTCTGTGGTTAAAATAAGTAGTAGTGCCCCATATACGAAACAAGTGCCATGGGCCACGTAAGAGTGCCCTGTATACGAAACAAGTGCCTGGGTATACGCAGGGGTGCCTCATATATACAAAACAAGTGCCTTGTATACGAAAAAACTGCTTGTGGTACGTAGGGGTGCCTCATATACGAAACAAGTGCCTGTGGTTAAAATAAGTAGGAGTGCCCAGTACAGGTGACTCGATCTCTCGAAGTTCAAGGAACCACAAGAAAAGTTCGAGAGATCGAGGGGTTCGAGAGATAGAAAGTAAATAAATTCCGGATTTTTGAGTTCCGATCATCGATGTTCTACTATTATAGATATCGGAAGTATATGTAAATAAAGTCATTGCACGTTTTCAATCGTATTTTACAGTTAATTCACATGATTTCAATAACAATGTTCGTATTTCGAATAAATAAAACGAATTCCTTAAGTTTCAATATTCATTTGTTCTTATTTCATGATTAAATGAAACCCGAAAAGCAATTGTCGGTTTTCATGATTTTGCTATTCCACGGCTTGATCGGGTCCTTCGCCAGTGTTCACGACATACCATATTTCTCTTAATAGTTCTTGAGAAATGAATTTCTTGTGCAATATTTGCCATCCTGGGATTATGTAGACTCTAATGAAAGTTCTTAGTCTTTTGGAACATATTGAGACGAACGTCATTAAATTATTTTCTCAAAATTATCGTCTCGGATTCAAGTCCAAATAAGTTCTGAATTCGTTTAGAATTTCCCTCAAATAACCAATTAATTTTATCAACACATGGACGACCCACAGGTGTAGTGTCATCTATGTAAACACCCAATTAAGGTCATACGCAATGTAGTTTGAACTTTTTTGGGTTCTCCCCTGGAGTTGAAGAGTTCCACTAAATGAAGGACCTGTGTGCAGTATTTTTTAATGTCTATAAATGGATTTGTACACCTCTTCTAAAACAATTTTTGAAGAAAAAAAATTTGAAATTTATGTTTTATAATTTTTGTACATTTTTATTTGAATTATGCAAAAATTTTCAAAATTCGATATCTTTTCAAAACCTCTGGTAAGGCATGCTGAATTTTTGTCTATGAACATGTAATTATATTATAACTTTAAATTTGGAATATCTTGGAAATCTATCAGTAGGTAAGGTATGTTGCGTATGTCCTAAACACCTCCATGCTAGCCCCAGTCGTTCACTGTTTTCCAGGTAAGTCCAGGCTGCATAAATTTTACGCTTGATTGGCGTGTATACACGCGCAATCAAAAATTCGAGAGATAGAGAGTAAAAATCAATGAAATATGTGTAACGGGACCCAGGTCTTGGTTCGAGAAATAGAGAGTTTCGAGAGATAGAAGTTCGAGAGATCAGGAGTAAATTTGCTTAGTTATATAGAGGAAAAAACGGGACCGGAGGTTCACTTCGAGAGATAGAGAACTTCGAGGGATCAGAGTTCGAGCCATCGAGAGTCACCTGTATATGAAACAAGTGCCTGGGGTACGTAGGGGTACCCATATACGAAACAAGTGCCTGAGATACGCAGGGGTACCCATATACAAAACAAGTGTCTGGGGTACATAGGGGTACCCATATACGAAACACAAGAGCCAGGGGAACGTAGGGGTGCCCATATACGAAACAAGTGCCTGGGGTATGCAGGGGTACCCTGTATACGAAACAAGTGCCTGTGTGAACAGATTACAATTTATTTTTCGTGAAATGATGGGTCTTTCTAACTACAAGGAAGAGCCGTGAAATTGATTTATATAGAGGATCCTTAAGAACATTTGAAATTTATACGAGCATCAAATAAACACGTGTTTTATAAATAAAACGATAAAACTAGGAGTGCCATCCTGGTGTGACAAATAAGGTGAGTTACAAATTAAATTTCTCTTGTATTAAAAAAAATGACATAATGACTCCAGAACCTTTCATCACACTGGATAGAAAAAAATGGAAATCTTATTCTCTGACAAATAATTACAACGAAAGAAAAACTACATAAAAAACAACACAAAACGTCATGTTGTCAATTGAGAAATTACTCACATTTCTAATGAGCATATGATATTGGTCTCGTGAGGTGATAGTGACTAGACTGGCGTTCATATTGTTACAGACGTCTCTCGATTCATACCATGTCCTTCCTCTAAAAGAAAGCATAGTCATAAACACGTTATTATAATGGAAAAATTACTGAAACACAGAAACATTTTTCATGTCAAGGTAAAAAAGCTATGTACGGTGTAAATAGTAAAATCAGGGATTTGCATTTTAACGTAGAAACACAATTAACTGTATTCGATACTTATGTTAACAGTGTTATGAGTTATGGAGCTGAAGTATGGGGATTTCACAAGGGTCAAAACGTAGAAAATGTTCACTTAAATTATTGCAAAAGAGTCTTGAAGGTCAGACAAAGCACCAGTAATGATGCAGTTTATTGTGAATCAGGTAGATTTCCACTTATACTTGAAAAGAAAAAGAAAATTTTGAAATACTGGGTGAAATTAAAAAAAACAGTGATAATTGTATATTACAAGCATGTTATCAAGATATGATTGAAAATAATGATGAGTGGGTTGTAAACATTAGGAAGGAATTCCAAAAGCTTGGTTTAGCTGAGATGTACAATAGTGATTGTATTGATAATAATAGTTAAATACTCTGAACATTATATTCCACAGAATGTAGGACTGTTATAAACAAGAAATTATGGCAAGAATTTGTAATTCTCCTAAATATATTTCCTATTTCAACATTAGTGGATAATGTTGCACTACAGACTTATTTAAGAAAATCATTGCATTCTAAGTATAGAATACGTATAAGTCGTTTAAGGCTATCAGCTCATGATTTAAGAATAGAAAGGGGAAGGTATAGAAATATAGAAAGAAAAGATAGAAAATGTGAAATTTGTATGTCAGGTGAGATAGAGGACGAATTTCATTTTGTATTAAAATGTCCTCAATATGAAGAACTTAGAATTAAATATATTAAGTGTTATTATTTTCAAAAACCATCAGTATTTAAATTAGTACAGCTACTGAGTTCTACAAATACTAAAGAACTATGTAACTTGGGCAATTTTTTGTATTTTTCTCATCAATTAAGAAATGATGTTCTAAATAATAATTAAATGATATTGTTATGTAATTAACATAAGTATATTGTATAGCCTGTACAAACCTTATGTATGAATATTGTATACCTATGAGATGTAATATCTCCGGTTCAAATATAAAATACAAATACAAATATTAGTACCCGATTAGCTATCATCATTTATACGTCATTATTATTATTCTCTGATTAAGTGTAATTTTTAATGCGTCAATGCGATATTATTACTCCCTGCACAAATATAACCATTAACACGTAATTTTTCCCGACGAAATATGATTATTAACACTTTATTATTATTCCCTGATCAGCTGTAATCATTTATAAGCTATTATAATTCCCTGTTTATCTGTAATCATTAGTATGTTACTATAATTCCCGGCTTATCTGTAATCATTAGTATGTTACTATTATTCCCTGCTTATCTATAATCATTAGTATGTTACTATTATTCCCCGTTTATCTGTAATCATTAGTATGTTACTATTATTCCCTGTTTGTCTATAATCATTAGTATGTTACTATTATTCCCTGTTTATCTGTAATCATTAGTATGTTACTATTATTCCCTGTTTATCTGTAATCATTAGTATGTTACTATTATTCCCCGTTTATCTGTAATCATTAGTATGTTACTATTATTCCCTGTTTATCTGTAATCATTAGTATGTTACTATTATTCCCCGTTTATCTGTAATCATTAGTATGTTACTATTATTCCCTGTTTATCTGTAATCATTAGTATCTTACTATTATTCCCCGTTTATCTGCAATCATTAGTATGTTACTATTATTCCCTGTTGATCTGTAATCATTAGTATGTTACTATTATTCCCCGTTTATCTGTAATCATTAGTATGTTACTATTATTCCCCGTTTATCTGTAATCATTAGTATGTTACTATTATTCCCTGTTTATCTGTAATCATTAGTATGTTACTGTTATTCCCCGTTTATCTGTAATCATTAGTATGTTACTATTATTCCCTGTTTATCATTAATCATTAGTATGTTACTATTATTCCCAGTTTATCATTAATCATTAGTATGTTACTATTATTCTTCCTCGTTTATCTGTAATCATTAGTATGTTACTATTTTTCCCTGTTTATTTGTAATCATAAGTATGTTACTATTATTCCCCGTTTATCTGTAATCATTAGTATGTTACTATTACTCCCCGTATATCTGTAATCATTAGTACGTTACTATTATTCCCTGTTTATCATTAATCATTAGTATGTTACTATTATTCCCTGTTTATCTGTAACCATTAGAACGTTACTATTATTCCCCGTTTATCTGTAATCATTAGTATGTTACTATTATTCCTCGTATATCTGTAATCATTAGTACGTTACTATTATTCCCTGTTTATCTGTAATCATAAGGTATGTTACTATTATTCCCCGTTTATCTGTAATCATTAGTACGTTACTATTATTCCCTGTTTATCTGTAATCATTAGTATGTTACTATTATTCCCCGTTTATCTGTAATCATTAGTACGTTACTATTATTCCCCGTTTATCTGTAATCATTAGTATGTTACTATTATTCCCCGTTTATCTGTAATCATTAGTACGTTACTATTATTCCCTGTTTATCTGTAATCATTAGTATGTTACTATTATTCCCCGTTTATCTGTAATCATTAGTACGTTACTATTATTCCCCGTTTATCTGTAATCATTAGTATGTTACTATTATTCCCTGTTTATCTGTAATCATTAGTACGTTACTATTATTCCCCGTTTATCTGTAATCATTAGTATGTTACTATTATTCCCTGTTTATCTGTAATCATTAGTATGTTACTATTATTCCTCGTTTATCTGTAATCATTAGTATGTTACTATTATTCCCCGTTTATCTGTAATCATTAGTATGTTACTATTATTCTTCCTCGTTTATCTGTAATCATTAGTATGTTACTATTATTCTCTGTTTATCTGTAATCATTAGTATGTTACTATAATTCCCCGCTTATCTGTAATCATTAGTATGTTACTATTATTCCCCGTTTATCTGTAATCATTAGTACGTTACTATTATTCCCCGTTTATCTGTAATCATTAGTATGTTACTATTATTCCCCGTTTATCATTAATCATTAGTATGTTACTATTATCCCCTGTTTATCATTAATCATTAGTATGTTACTATTATTCCCTGTTTATCTGTAATCATTAGTATGTTACTATTATTCCCCGTTTATCATGAATCATTAGTATGTTACTATTATTCCCTGTTTATCATTAATCATTAGTATGTTACTATTATTCCCCGTTTATCTGTAATCATTAGTACGTTACTATTATTCCCTGTTTATCTGTAATCATTAATATGTTACTATTATTCCCCGTTTATCATTAATCATTAGTATGTTACTATTATTCCCTGTTTATCATTAATCATTAGTATGTTACTATTATTCCCTGTTTATCTGTAATCATTAGTATGTTACTATTATTCCCCGTTTATCATTAATCATTAGTATGTTACTATTATTCCCTGTTTATCATTAATCATTAGTATGTTACTATTATTCCCTGTTTATCATTAATCATTAGTATGTTACTATTATTCCCTGTTTATCTGTAATCATTAGTATGTTACTATTATTCCCCGTTTATCTGTAATCATTAGTATGTTACTATTATTCCCCGTTTATCTGTAATCATTAGTACGTTACTATTATTCCCTGTTTATCTGTAATCATTAGTATGTTACTATTATTCCTCGTATATCTGTAATCATTAGTATGTTACTATTATTCCCCGTTTATCTGTAATCATTAGTACGTTAGTATTATTCCCTGTTTATCATTAATCATTAGTATGTTACTATTATTCCCTGTTTATCTGTAATCATTAGTATGTTACTATTATTCCCCGTTTATCTGTAATCATTAGTATGTTACTATTATTCCCTGTTTATCTGTAATCATTAGTACGTTACTATTATTCCCTGTTTATCATTAATCATTAGTATGTTACTATTATTCCCCGTTTATCTGTAATCATTAGTATGTTACTATTATTCCCTGTTTATCTGTAATCATTAGTACGTTACTATTATTCCCTGTTTATCATTAATCATTAGTACGTCATTATTCCCCGTATCTGTAATCATTAGTATGTTACTATTATTCCCCGTTTATCTGTAATCATTAGTATGTTACTATTATTCCCCGTTTATCTGTAATCATTAGTATGTTACTATTATTCCCTGTTTATCTGTAATCATTAGTACGTTACTATTATTCCCCGTTTATCTGTGATCATTAGTACGTTACTATTATTCCCCGTTTATCTGTAATCATAAGTATGTTACTATCATTCCCTGTTTATCATTAATCATTAGTATGTTACTATTATTCCCCGTTTATCTGTAATCATTAGTATGTTACTATTATTCCCTGTTTATCTGTAATCATTAGTATGTTACTATTATTCCCCGTTTATCTGTAATCATTAGTATGTTACTATTATTCCCCGTTTATCTGTAATCATTAGTATGTTACTATTATTCCCTGTTTATCATTAATCATTAGTATGTTACTATTATTCCCCGTTTATCTGTAATCATTAGTATGTTACTTTTATTCCCTGTTTATCTGTAATCATTAGTATGTTACTATTATTCCCCGTTTATCTGTAATCATTAGTACGTTACTATTATTCCCCGTTTATCTGTAATCATTAGTATGTTACTATTATTCCCCGTTTATCTGTAATCAATAGTATGTTACTATTATTCCCTGTTTATCTGTAATCATTAGTACGTTACTATTATTCCCCGTTTATCTGTAATCATTAGTATGTTACTATTATCCCCTGTTTATCATTAATCATTAGTATGTTACTATTATTCCCTGTTTATCTATAATCATTAGTATGTTACTATTATTCCCTGTTTATCTGTAATCATTAGTATGTTACTATTATTCCCCGTTTATCTGTAATCATTAGTACGTTACTATTATTCCCTGTTTATCTATAATCATTAGTATGTTACTATTATTCCCCGTTTATCTATAATCATTAGTATGTTACTATTATTCCCTGTTTATCTGTAATCATTAGTACGTTACTATTATTCCCTGTTTATCTGTAATCATTAGTATGTTACTATTATTCCCTGTTTATCTGTAATCATTAGTACGTTACTATTATTCCCTGTTTATCTGTAATCATTAGTATGTTACTATTATTCCCTGTTTATCTGTAATCATTAGTATGTTACTATTATTCCTCGTTTATCTGTAATCATTAGTATGTTACTATTATTCCCTGTTTATCTGTAATCATTAGTACGTTACTATTATTCCCCGTTTATCTGTAATCATTAGTATGTTACTATTATTCCTCGTTTATCTGTAATCATTAGTATGTTACTATTATTCCCTGTTTATCTGTAATCATTAGTATGTTACTATTATTCCTCGTTTATCTGTAATCATTAGTATGTTACTATTATTCCCTGTTTATCTGTAATCATTAGTACGTTACTATTATTCCCCGTTTATCTGTAATCATTAGTATGTTACTATTATTCCCCGTTTATCTGTAATCATTAGTATGTTACTATTATTCCCCGTTTATCTGTAATCATTAGTATGTTACTATTATTCCCTGTTTATCTGTAATCATTAGTATGTTACTATTATTCCCTGTTTATCATTAATCATTAGTATGTTACTATTATTCCCTGTTTATCTATAATCATTAGTATGTTACTATTATTCCCTGTTTATCTGTAATCATTAGTATGTTACTATTATTCCCTGTTTATCTGTAATCATTAGTACGTTACTATTATTCCCCGTTTAAATCATCTATCATTATCATTAATCATTACATTATTCCCCGTTTATCTGTAATCATTATATGTTACTATTATTCCCCGTTTATCTGTAATCATTAGTATGTTACTATTATTCCCCGTTTAAAATCTTTTATCAACTTACATTCCTGACATATCAAAGAAGTAACATATATCGATATACACAAATCTACTGTCACCACAAGGCTCTGCAATGAGAAATACCTCTCAAAAGATAAATTGTAAAACAATGACATTGATATTTATAAATCTACTTCAAAGCAAGGTTTGTTAATTCGGAATATATCACAAAAGATACATTATGAAATAACCTCGTCCATATGGAAAATCACTGTCAACACAAAATTTTGTAAGATAAATGTGTAAACATATATATATATCAGAAATCAACAGGAAAATGTTATTTGTCACAACAATTAAATATGTAAACTATGAAAGCCAAATTCTTAACCGTTTAAAAGTTATGGCAAAGTTTTTTTTCTTAAAATCAGGTCAACCTCCTAGGTCTAGGCTAAGGGTCAAAGTTGTTGATATCTTTGCTTCAGTAAAAAATGCTAACTATTGTTTTCAAGATGAATATGTCATTGTTAGAACTGATGGAACAGACATTGTTCAAGAAGACTACGCGCGTGGCTTGCTCATGCACTGATTAATGACAATGGTCTTCATAAGAAATAAAGGGAAAAAAATATTCAGTGGATGTCAGTATATCATTTTCATTACTGCATAATATTTACATATTTTTTTCTGCTTTGATATTTCAGAGTGGAAGAAAATTGAAAATAATCGATTATTAATCGATTACATTGTATAAAGTAATCGATTACAGGTCAAAACTGACTGCAATCGATTATTAATTGATTACACAAAATTCCTGGGATTATTAATCGATTACATTTTTTAGTAATCGTGCCCATGCCTGGACCCCAGCCTTGCTGTAGGTTTTACGAGGAAATCTGCCCTATCTCCCCCTGAAAGATTGTCAGTGGACCTTTGTCCCCCCCCCTCCCCCCTTACCATACTCCTCCGTCTCCTCTGAGTCGCTGGCACTTCCCTCCTGTTCCGTCTCTATATTTGTCAACACCGAGGCTGAAACAATAAAATGCTAGCTGTAAAGGTCTGTTAACCTTACAAACATGGATCTGTAACATAAAAACGTACTATAATTAAAGTTTGCAATTTTCCCCATTATTTTCTTTCGAGTTCTGGTATAAATCATTTTAATAGTTTTTGTAATCTTTTACAACTGCGCTGAAACTAAGATAATTTAATGGATTGTTTTGAAAGGCTGATGCAACACTTCTTTTTTAACGAGACCGAGAAAGCATGAATTGAGAAGAATTTAGGTCGGTTGAGTCATACGTTGAAGAATGCATATCAAACAGAAATATTTTTTGAACAGTATTAATTTGAAATAAAGCATTAAGTAACATATATATGCGACACAAAAAGTCAATCTTTGCTAATGTTTGTGGACATTAAACTTCGCTTTAAATATAAGTGTATTATAGCTATTGATAAATTTGTGTTTATACAGCAAAATTAAAAGAAGATTTTGAATTATATAAAATGTTACTTCTTTGTTCTCTAATTTACATCGACGTGACCAAATTATGTAAATGTTTACTGCAATAAACAAAGGCGTTGGAAGCAAGTTGAAAGGGGGGGGGGCTTATTGGAAGTAGGGGGTTAAACCAATAAAAAAGGTAAAACCAAATTTTCAATGCCTATATTATATATGTATTTGCCAAAAAAGTGAAGGGGGAGCTAAGCCCCCTAGCCCCCCCCCCCCCCCCCCATCCCGTTCGAATGCCTATGATAAATATAAAAAACCTCTCACTCTGCATAAATCGTATATTGCTAAAGCAAAGAGCGAAACTGTTTAATATCCTGTAATTAGTACAATCACTTCTCATTTTCAAATCGCTTGATGTCCTAAGATGCAATATATTTCCTTTTTAACAATAAGTTGTATATTTTATTTTCAACTTACCGTGGTATCCAACCATGACTACAATAACACAGAAATAATAACTGAAGTCCATTTTGTTTATTATTTCCCTGCAGCTCCGTGAGCCTTCTTAGCGCCAGGGAGGAAGCTGTCTCTTCTTGATAGCGGCAGCAATAGAAAAAAATTCTGGATACTGAGTACACCTTTCTATCAAGTAAGATTCTATAAATAGTTAAAGGATCTGTGTGTATACAAAAAGTGTTGAACATGACTGCAATATCAGATGTAGATCCATTCAAAAATCAAAATTACTTACAATATTCATTTCATTTTTTAATGTCAGATTTTAACTTATGTTAGTACATGTAGAAGGAATAGGACAAATGTATATTTCAACTAAATAATTTTTCACACAATTGAATATCGAATACAATTGTATTGAAAACTAGGAATGAAAGGCACGGTGCAATTCAGGGAATTTTTTTTAGGAATCACCAACCCTGAAATAAAAAATTCAATTTTTTTCTTTCCTGTAATCGCTCAAAAGTTATACATTTTAAAGGTAAACTTTGCATAATTGTACGGACAATGACTAAAATTAAATATCAAAAAATCAATTTGCTTCACACAAAGGCAATTGAACGTATCGTATAAGTGGAAATTTTAGCTAGAGGCAATTTAGCGAGAAAAAAATTTAAGCGATATTAATTAAAAGCTCACTTAAGAAGCCATTACAACTGAAACGCAATTACTTTTTAGCAATATTCAATTTTAGCGATCTCCGTATCTTTGCTAATAATGCCAAATTAAATCCTCTCTAAAAATTCTTCTTATACGGTATTGTAAAAATATATGCCTAAAGCAATTCCTGGGTCACTGCTTACTTAATTTTGAAAGACAGAATTTAATGCAATCCAAGTTCGTAAGTGTATAGAATGTTGATCAACACATTTCACAAAAGTTTTTTAAGAGAAAAGACTCTATAGAATGGACAATTTATTGATTATTATTGTTTAATGCTGATTCGGCAATATTTCAGCCATATTTCGAGGAGGAAGGAGAAAAATTGTGTCACAGCTCGTCATCAGTAAATGACGTGACAGAAGCAGACTGACGCCATTTTTGTCCGGAATTCTTAGCTTGGTAGATGATGTAAGCGTGAACAAAGGGCCGTAGGAAACAATAGTTGATTTACATATGAAGGGATGTCTTGCAATGAGGATAACAGCTCCCTTGATAGGAATTTCACAGGTGCAAACAACGACGACATCCTAACATCCAGACATGTCTTAAACTTATTAGAACCCAGGCACGTAGCAACCGGGGGGGGGGGGGGGGAGCAGGGGGGCCTGGCTCCCCCACTTTTTTCCTCAACAGTACCTTTACTATAGAAAATGTCCATTGTGAAGATGGTTGCCCCCCCACCACTTTTTACCACAGTACATATATAGCAAGGAAATATGGAAAAAAATTGGAAGTGAAAGGAAGTTGGCCTTTAAAAAAAATTGGCTTCTACCCCCCACCCCCCACCCACGAAATAGGATTTTCGAGTTTGGAAAATTGTTAATTTTCGTTTTTTTTTTTTTTTTTTTTTGCTTGTCAATTTTTTAGGTAAGTAGAAATATTTTCTCAGGTTGGCACCCCCACTTTCAAAAACGATGCTACGTGCCTGGAACTCAACATTATTGATGAAGTTTTGGTCAATTGCTTATCTGTCAAAACCAGTTAAGAATGTTTCGGAGGTGTTAGTAGCACATGTCATGTCATTTACAATAATTCCCGTCTCATCAGGGGTTTACATGTATCTTATACATAGATCTATCAATTTCTTTGAATTTAATGTGATTTATTATCTATCTAATGATCAGATCAACTGTATCCTTGTGTTTACTGTATGGAACCATAGGGTGTTATAAATAAGTTTTTGCATACTTCGTCATCATGTATGTAATCTGAATATTTCATAAGTCGTTTCCGTAACCCTTTTATGCATGGGTTAAACTTGGTGACCAAAACGTTGGGTACAGCCTTTTTTGTTTTTTTTCTTCTTTATTTTTTTTTAATAATGTTAATTCTATTTGCAGAAATATTTTCTGGCATATAAAGTTCTATAACCCTTTTGTGAGTTTCGAAATACAGCTTGATCACTAATATTTCTTAATGTGTGGCACATTCTTCTTTAATTAGACCCTTGAAAACTGATGGACTATGAGCACTTTGCCTGTGCAAGTATTGGAAGTTGTGAAAAGGTTTGATATATGAGCGAATGTCTAATCGATGGCTCTCTGAGAATTTTGTTCCTTTGTAAATGGTGTGTCTAAGAAATTGATACAAGTGTGTGATATTTGATAAATAAATCTCAAATATTTATGAAAAAAGTTCCTTACGTCAATTTTTTAAAAATATCATCCGGGCTTCCATTAGATAAAATAAATCCACCATCTCTAAATCTGCCGTGATAAATAAGTTTTTCGGCATGTTGAAATTTAGATATTACATCATCAAAAATATCTTCGATGCGCCTATGAATTGTTTGTAGTGTAGCTGTGTAGCAACCTCTAATGATAAAACGCCGCTTAATGATACAAATAGCATTAAGCGTTGCAATTGCAACGCTTAATGCCATATTTTATTGCATTAATAGCTGACATCATCAACCGCTAATGCTAAATTGCCGCTTAATGACAGAATTATATCATTAAGCGTCACAAATGCAGTGCAACACCGACGCTTAATGAAACAAGCAAATATCGACATATTCGACGCTTAATGATACACACTTGTGTATCATTAAGCGTTGCAGTTGCAACCCTTAATGATATAAAATATAGAAATCGCTTGTAATATCTAAGAGAAACACACATCCACCTTTCCTGAATAATTAGATATCACTTGTCAAAATATTTATATATGCCCTTGTGCTATATAAATGGTAATTATAGAAGTTTTCTGTGTTTTCTATCTAGTCAAGTGAACATCTTTAAGCCCCGGATGTTTAAGAGACAGACAGTCAGATAGCTGTAAGAAAGAGATACAAACAAAGGGATAAATAAAATGATATTCAAATCCTTTAAAAGAACCTTTTTTTTTTACTGAAAATACAGAAGCAAACAAGCAAATAAATTCCTTTTAATTTGATACAATGATTTTAATAGTCAAACTGAAATATATATATCATATTTGAATATTTTTATCGAAACTTTGTATTTTAGATTTGATACAGCTTAACACATACCACTGTTAACGTTTCAGATATACGTATCGAGATTTTCACTAATCGTATTTTTAATCTGCTTCGTTTCTCCAAATTCCTAAAAGAGAGACATCAATATTAACAATTTATGTTTAAGGATATCTTACAAAGAATACAAGTAATACATAGAATAATATATATTGTGTTGAGAAAAAAAAATCATTTATGCTTTATTTGTGAGCAGTGTTACTTGAATACATCACCGTTGCATCACTGCATGATTATTTTAGAATCAATTTTGAATTCTAGTATGTATCAAATTACAATATACATACTGACTGAGGTTGAAGAGGCTGTTTTTAGGTCACCTGAGTCACTCAGGTGACCTATTGCTATCCGTTTTCGTCTGTCGTCGTCCGTCGTCCGTCGTGTGTCGTGTATCGTGTGTCATGTGTCGTGTGTTAACATTTGAACATTTTCAGCTTCTTCTCTGAAACCACTTAACCAATTTTAACCAAATTTGGTATACAGCCTCTATGGGTAAAGGGGAACAAAAATTGTGATTTTCATGGTCCCCGCCCCCCTGGGGCCTGAGGGGTGGGGCCAAAACCACTAAAATTAGTGCAATCTTTAAAAATCTTCTTCTTTACTCCTGGACATCAAGCAGGCTAACTGTTGACATGAATGTAACAATCATTGAGTCCTCTACCAAAATTGTGAAATTCATGGCCCCAGGGTCAGGGGTTCTAGTGCTAGGGCGGGGCTAAATAGGTTATATAGTGAAAATGCACTATTTCCTCAAAAATCTTCTTCTCTGCTCCTGGGTATTAAATACACGAACTAAGTACATAGTTATGATGAGAAAGAATGCCTCTTCCAAAATTGTGAATTTCTTGGCCCCAGGGTCAGGGGTTCTGGTGTTAGGGCGGGGAATCTCTAAAAATCTTCTTCTCTGCTCTGGGCATTGATTATATAGTGAAAATGCATTGAATCTCTAAAAATCTTCTTCTCTGCTCTGGGGTATTAAATAAACTAACTAAGTACATAGTTATGATGAACAAGAGTGGCTTTTTCAAATTTGTGAATTTCATGGCCCCAGGGTCAGGGGTCCTGGTGTTAGGGTGGGGCTCTATTGATTTCATGGCCATTATATAGTGAAAATGCATTGAATCTCTGAAAATCTTCTTCTCTGCTCTGGGGTATTAAATAAACTAACTATGTACATAGTTATGATGAGCACGAGGTGCCTCTTCCAAATTTGTGAATTTCTTGGCCCCAGGGTCAGGGGTTCTAGTGCTAGGGCGGGGCTATATAGATTATTCAGTGAAAATGCATTATTTTTAAAAAAATTTTCTCCTCTGATCCTGAGTATTAAATAAACAAACTAAGTACATAGTTATAATGAGCAAGAGTGCCTCTTCCAAATATGTTAATTTCATGGCCCCTATGTCAGGGGTTTAGCTATTTGGAGTAAGGAGAGGGAGGCTCTACATTACATAAATTCTTTGAAAATCTTTTCCTTTGCTCCTGGGAATTATGCCAATAATCTAAGTATATATATATATATTTATGATGAGGAAAGGTGCATCTAGCAAAATGGTTAATTTCATGCCCCCTGGGTCAGGGGTGTCGGTGTGTGTGTGTGTGTGTGGGGGGGGGGGGGGTTACATAGTCTGGAAATAAATGAATGCTTTGAAATTTACTCATTAGTACTAATCAACCATATTTGATGAAATAACATTCATGATGATAAAATTTTGAAATATGTGGCCCCAGGGTCTGTGGTTTCTGTTGGATGGGGTGCACAATTGCATGGTTTAGAATGGAAGTGCATTTTTCTCTTAGTTACTCTGATCTACTTATGGGTGTTAAGTGACTATCTAGTAAGCATCGCTAAGTGTATAATTATGATAAGCAGTAGTGCCTCTTTGCAAAATTGTGAATTTCATGGCCTCTGGTTTA